TGGCAAAACATATTTACAGTCGAGTTGATCTTTTCTCCTTTTGTGTTTTATTAACAATCAGAAGTGGGCCTTAAATTACAGAAGGTTGAGAAGCTACAATACAACTCAGTGTTGAAGGGACCAATAGAGAAATAGAATAAATCAGTTAAGTTGAAGGCACAGTGTAGGACTTAGGAGGATTTATTGGCAGACATGGAATATAATAGTCATAACTATGCTTTCATGAGGGTTTAATCACCTGAATGAAATCCTTATGAGCCCTTCATGTTTACATAAAGAGCAGGTCCTCTTCACGGAGTTCGCCATGTTGCACCGTCATGTTTCTACAGTGGCCTAGAAAGGATAAACCACACACTGGCTCTAGCGAGAGGCTATCACTTTTTTAAAGTTACCTGAAGGCCACCGTAGTTCTCCAACGCGCTTGGAAAGGAGGAAGTAAGCGGAGGAGTGTTCAGTTGGATGCAGTCTGCAACCTCACCACTAGATGCCCCTAATTCGTACACACTGCTCCTTTTTAATAATAAGTGAATGAGCAACGTGTGTTCATCAAAAAGTATATTTCAAAATGTTTCCTTTATATTACTTGATTACTAATTGACCTACAAACTTTGGTCATGAACTTTAGTGTGCCTTGCAACAACACAATTGCAGTTGGAGGACTAGTGTTTGGCTGGAGATGAAAATAAACAACAAAAAAGTGTTTGAGGTCAATTTTAAAATCCCAAATTCTTGCAGCAGCCATTACACTTAGATTAAAAGAGAGTAGCACACATTTTAAATCAAATGTCAGGGGTTTTGGACAAATCAAATTATGGCTCAACCATAGTGTGAAGCTTTCTTCTGCAAATTAAATTAATTTTTCCATCGTGTTGGTTTCCTTTTTTGTCAGATATATATATATATCCTTACAGATACTTTGCAAAGCAGTTGAAGCAGGCTCTCAGGCTAAGAAATGGCAGCAAAAACAGCAATCGCTCCCTTAAGAGAGTATGCAACTTGATGCAGACGTGCATCTTTACCTCAAACTTGTCATCCCAGCTTTCTTAGCCCAGAAGCTCTGAATCCTTATTGCATTCATTTGCTCCATATGTTACAGGTCCCTCCCGTTGAGCAACACCACTACAGGTAATGAATACTGGTCGTAAACCACTGGATGCTTTCACCCCCCACTTCATAATTAGATCGCTCAATCATTTGCTGTAGAGATCTTTGCCTTGCTGGGGGCTCAGAGAGAATATCTCATGAGCGTGCATGGAGTACATGTGTGTGTTTATTTCCCTCATGTGTGAATGTACCGGCTGCGTGTGCAAGCTTGCGTATCATTTATTTATGCATTTATGTCGAGTATTTACGTCCACGTGTTGCTGGATTGAAGCAGGAATGAATCCCTTGGAAAAGCGGCTTGTTAAACGTAGCTCTTCGGTCCACTGGAATGGAAGAGGGGTATTGAGTTTGTGCCAGGAGAGATACATGCTGCTAATTTCCACATTGTATCATGCCTCGGGATCAATTCCATGAAACGCTTGCTGATTTGTTTTGCTAATTGTGCTCAGTACTGTTCGGAGTATTGTTTCTATGCAAGAGAACGTGAGAGGCTGAGAGTAGAAAGTAATTGGATGCATTTTTCTCTTCAACCTCAGCGTTATGATCAGCCAAATAGTCAACATTTGTCACCGCTGTCAAACGGCGAAGGAATTGTTTTGACATTTTTTGAAATGTCTCTCCGGTACATACGAAGTTACCGCCAGTAGTTTAGCTTAGGTTTGGCACGAAGAGTGGGAAAAGGGGAAAAACAGATGACCTGGCTGTGTCAAAAAAGAACAAAATCCATCTATCTTCTAATTAACTTTAAAAAAAAATCTTGTTTGATTAATTTGTACAAAGATCACTGGGAGCACTTGCCAAGCAACCAGCAGAGACTCCGGGAAGTCAGTGGTCCCGCCCAGCAAATAGTCTGCAGCCCCCCCCCACACACACACACACACTTTGTTACGCCTCCCTCAACTCTCAGTCATACAGTCAAAATCTTGCCCCGCAGTGTATCCCATTCCACCCAAGCTAAGTGATAGTCTTTCTATTAGCCAGATGACTGCCTGGTGAAAGACTGTTTGGTGAACAACCTACATATTGCCATTACAATTATCATTAATCAATAAATGAAGTCCAGACCAGCGTCGTTTGATTGATCGTATTCACCGGGTCACGTTCACAAAGGCTCTGGAGCAGGATGGAGGTGTTCTTCATATGATTTGATTTATCAGGTACATTTGAAATGCACACAGCTGTATCAACAATGAAGGGAGGAAGGTGGGCGAGTGTTGAGTGAGTGATAAGGAGAACATGTTCTGCTGATAATCTGGTTTGTGCACACGAGAACGGATAATCATGTCTTTTCACCAGAGGATAGAACAAAATTAAGTGGATGTTAAATTGCCAGTGGAGGATGGAAGACAAGGGCATCTATAAACTGCTTTTATAAGAGTAATACCTGAGCTGCTAAAGTACCAGGGTTATTAGGTGCACTGGGCAAAGGATCTGGTTGGATGTTACCAGGTGGTTACTGGGGTGAAATATGGGGTTGCCTGGGGGTTCCATGCTGCATTTTCATAGAAATATTTAAGAGTTGTGTTTGTATTTTTATATTTTTGCTTCTTTGGGGCAAAAACGTACTAGCTTTGGATTATCGCGATATCACACTAATGAGTAATGTGTTTGCCCTTAAAATCTGTGTCCTAAGCACGGCTTAGATTTGTTGCAAGAATAAGTCCGATCTATGAGAAAATGACTCTACTTCTCACTTGATTTATTATCTCAGTAAACATGAGTTTATGGTCTTTAATCGCTAGTTTCAAGTCTTCATTAATACAGCATGATGTTCACGTTCACTCCTCCGCATTCCAAATATGGTAACATCCGTTCATTGGTTGCGAAAAAACAAGATGGCGACTGCGAAATCGCCAAAACTTGAGGCTTCAAAACGGCAGCCCACAAATAAATGGGTGACGTCGTGATGACTACGTCCACTTCTTATATACAGTCTATGCTAACGACGTGGAGAGGCAACTGTTCGTCCTATGCAGCAACGGTGGCTCCTGAAGAGGTTAGCGTAGTTGCTACAATAGCATCACTTATAACGGAACTGGAGAGTATTTCTTCACTGAGAGACGACACGGAAGGCTTTTCTCGATGGAAAAGACGTTTTCGCTTTTTTCTCGCCTCGGCAAGAGTTTGCTTGGCAGATGGTTCATCCAATCACCTGCCACGTATTTTCTTTTGGGAGTGCCTGCCTTTGATAGTCTTCAATGAAGGTTTCTCAGAGAAACCATGTGGAGCATCAGGCTAATAAAAAATATACAAACACAACAAATATCACCATTTGAAGTTGTCGTCATGCTCGTTAGCATTCATTTTGGAGTTCAAATCTAAAACTGCCGTGCGAGGCCCGTTCTGTAAGAAAATAAGACAAAGATCAATTACATTCATATATACTGTGTATATATGAATATATAATAGATAGATAGATACATTCTATATTTACATAAATAGATAGTTATACCTTCACTTTTCAAACAGAACCTTGTTTGCCTGACCGGCATGCTCTCACATAGTCTGTATCCACCAGTTGTCAGCTGAAGCAATTAAATCCCTGCTGTGCCTTTGGGAACACACTGAGACGCTGTGCATCACACAGCGAAATAAGCACGCTGCTTCATCCGCATCTACCTGTACGGGGTGAATGCACAACACGATGCAGCAGCAGATTGACAGGTCCGTCTTTCATGCTATAGAGCAGGTGTTCTGCTCCACGTACAAAGGTGATGATTGCGCATGAGAATTGTAAGATTGGCCTCTGACCGAGGAAACCGTGGAGTCGTATACAACCGAGAAGTGCAGTAAAATAAAAACAATACAAATAAAATCTTATAAAATCTCCTTATAAATTAAATGAAAATGTGACCTGAAATCACTGAGAATAATCACATTATAACCAAAATATATATTATATGTGCTTAAAAACACTGTAATGTAACAAATGTTACATAATCAGGTCTCAGTTAAACTAATTGATGACGTCCTGTGTGTTCACTCATGCTTAATTAATGGGTTGTCAATATTGTATCACTTAAAAAGGTTTCAATTTCATAAGTATTTAATAAACTCTGTCTCCCTCCATTAAAAGAAATTCACACAGGAGCTTTAATGTTCAACTGAACCTTTCAGATCTTTGTACCACAGCGCCACGTGGTGGTGGAGACTGTCTATTACATCGTGTGACTGAGCCGCAGTTAAACTAAAGAATCCTACACTGTAACTTAAACGCTGTAGATTTAAACAATGTAGATAAAAGGAGAGGAATAACCCGAAGGTCTTAACATTGAGATTAAAAGTGGAGAGGGTGTGGCTGTATGTGCATGTATGAATATGAGCACGGTGAATGACATAGTGTAAGTCTATGGGAAAAAGTTTTTTTGGGCCTTATGGCATCACATGACGGACCCTGAAGTTGTAATTCTGCAGTTTGGTCTCGAAGTAAAATTTGCTTCAAAGAAGAAGAAATAGTCCGGCATGTACCCCCCCCAGTAAAACCAGAAATTGTCATTTTCACTCTTTAAACTTTGTGCAGATTAAACAAACAAAGATACAACTGTCACAGCTATAGCCGTGCCCCCGTCTCCCCCTTGTGGTTTACAGTGTTGCCCTACTTCTCTTCCATGTCCCTGGCTTGTCTATGTGTGTGTATAGGTGTGAGTGTGTCTCATCCTGTCTTGCCATCAACCTTGGCCCAGTCTACCTTCACACCTGCCTGCAATCGGCTGATCACCTCCCTCACAGCTCACACACCTGCCTTTTATCAGCTCATAATCTCTGCAGTACCCAGTATTACGCGTTCATCGCCAGATAAATGACTCTCAACACATCTATATCAGACAGTGATTAATGCAAAGAAGAGATGTCTCTGTGAGGCTGGATTGAACCAACCTGACACAATAAATAGAAAGTAGCAAATAACAGTGTTTTATTCCATACAGGCTCAACCTTTGAACAGGGCGCTTTCGGCATTACCACAATTATCAATGGACTAAGGAGGTCGACACTTGTCCACTGAGTTCTGAGGAACTGAGACCCAACCCAGGTCAAATGGTCTAATCAAATGCTGCAGGAATGAGTCCTAAGACCCGGAAATGAGTCAGCATTTTTGAACTTTCGGTTCCCTCGTCTTGAAGTAAACTGGTTTTTGGTCTGATACCTGAAATAACACAACGTTAAGACATTTTAACATTTTGTTCTACAATATAAAGGTTAAGAAATCCCCTCTCTTGAATTTTGAAGCTTTTAAGTGTCTTAAAAAAGTGGCTAAATAAGACAAAAAGACGGTACGCCGACTAGTCCGCCTTTACAGCATTGTTGTGTATACTCGCTTTCATGTGACCCTGACGTATTTCGTTGACGCTTTTTACTTCTGCCGATTGCATTCACGTTTCTAAAGTCATAAATGTGGTGTTCATTTGTGAAGGTTATCTTGTTGAACAAAACATACAAGTATCATATACTTGTGTTTGCAATAATCCCAAATCAGATGAAAGAATCCCATCGGCTTTCTGTCGTGGATGCTAACTTCCGGGGTTGTTCTACAAAAACACTTCATCCCTGCAGCACTCTAAAGCCTCGGCCAGTCGTTGTTCTCACGCCGTGCTCAGCTGAAAGTGTCCTCGCTGTGCTATTAGAGCATCACGGTGCTTGCGGGAGCTCTGAAAGAACTCGTTTCCCTTCTGCAGGTTCTGGTCCGACAGGAAGCGGTCCACCAGAGTCCGCTGGATGGCCCTGCGTTCGCAGACTCTATGGGGAACGCCGTGGCTCACATTTCTTAGAGGCTCCACTATCAGCATCCCGCTGGGACCGGGACTCGTGGGCGGAAACACTTTAACCTGTAGGCAGAGAGAGGGATCATGGACTGATGCTTTTGAAATGTTTCCATGATCAGAAGTACAAACTTAACAACTGGAGATATTCTGTAGACCTTAAAACTAGGCTTTGGTAAAATATACAGTAGGACTACTCCTTCTGAAGCTCTGTTTCCAATCTGTATAATGTGAAGTTGTATGAGGTAAGTTACTTGCAGTGCTGTAGACAGTAGCCTTCTGACCTCTGCTGATCATTTTGGGGAAATGTTATTGTGAGTAATTCTCCATGGGTGTCTACAACTCTTCCCTAGTGGGCAGAAAACCGCTGCCCAGTAAACTGCACGGTAGGATCATTCATTTTCTCTCAACTATGTCGAATTGGATATGTCACAAAAGACAGGAGCAGTACCGATTTGACCAGATACTCTCTGTAGGTCTTAAGCAGTGGGTCAACACTGTGATGGTAGTCCAGATTTAAGTCGTGTCCTGCTGATGGGTCGGTCAGACGCTTCCAGTGGAGGATGATGTGGACGTGGAGAGCAGCTCCGTTCAGCCATTGCTTGACCTGCATACAAGAGGTACAAGACAGTCTTTACACTTCACACTTTTTAACCTCGTTGTTGAAGTTTAAACCTGGGGTTACTACATTTAGTTTGGATATTGGGACGAATTTGAGCCAAACCATACAGCAGACCAGGACTAGCAAACTCGGGGTTAAAACGAGGATTATCACACTTCCTAGATTAATTGATTAATTATCCCAAGTGTACAAGCAGGCGACAACCTCCAGGTTTGAAAAGTAAAGCCAATGCCTAAGTGCCTTAAACTTGCATTCTTTCTAATGGCCACCGGGGCGACCCCTCTGGTTGAAAAAAGAAGTCCTATTGTTTGGAAGTCTTTGATAAAATGACCCCACTTCTGACTTGATTTCTTACCTCAATAAACATTGTGAACACGAGTTTACGGTATTAGTCGCTCTTCAAGTATTCTTCAATACAGCATGAAGTTCATGTAGTAAATTATGGTCTCATTTAGAGTCAAATAGACCATAACGCAGGGTATCCTTTAAGGTGGGGCTACATTGTGACTGACAGGTTGCTACCAGAGCCGGATACAGCGTCTCTACCGCGGCGTCAATCCTCCGCAGTCCAAATATGGTCACTGCCGTTCACTGGTTGCAAAAAATACACGACGGCGACGGCCAAAAGCCAAGTTGGCGATGGCCAAAATGCCTAACTGGAGGCTTCAAAACCGCAGTCCACAAACCAATGGGTCACGGCGATAAAGTCCAATACTTTCATACAGTCTATTGTAACAAGGCCAAAAGCGCTACTTAGAATTTATTAGATGACACCAAAAGCACTTAAGTGTTCTGAAAGACGCAGTAATAACAGCGCAGAAAAATGCACAAGCACCACTCTTTATATTGTTTCTGTAGATGCTTTGAACCAACCCCAACAGAGCTGAGAGCGCTCCTGTCCGGTAACAGCATCCTGCCGTAGAAATCCGTCAGCTCGGATCTCAGCTTTCTCTCAGAGCTCTCCAATAGTGCTGCCATCTTGTCCTGGTCACCGGCTGCACCAGGAACCTGCAGGTGGATGATATTTAGTGTAGGATTATCATGTCTTAAGACTCTAGTTCATTACAAAATACATCGCATTGTGCTGCCTAAGCTTGACCTGACATTTTTGAATGGTTCTACATCTCTACAACTTTGGAGACATTTTAGAGTGAGCTTAAGTGATACTTTTGATTGGATCTGATACTGTACCTTGTTATGATGGTGAAACTTATTTGAGTTTATTTCAGCTTATTTTGTGCATCGGTGCTAGAAACTTGCAAGAATTAACATGTTGTGATATGCGTGTGATCTGGGCAGTTTAAGTAAACTGTGTGTAAAATGTGCTGAGATTTTGTTTTACCATATTTACGTATATATTTGATAAATTCTAAGGTTAGCATAATGGTAACTCTGAAGACTGAGCAGCTGGGGTTTGTCAAAAGGTCTGAAGAGAGTCTGTTTAACTTTTAAAAGGAGAAACAACACATTCTTCTCCTCACAAATACAAAGGTTTGTAAGAAAGAAACCACACCCTTCCTCAGTACAATACACTCAGGGGTATGTTGCTACAGCCTTGTTCTCCTTTATGACCACGCTTATGTTGGATCATTTTAGCAAACTTTAAATAGATGCTGTTGTGTTACTGACCCTACTGAGTCAGTTCACCGACCATATGACTCACCATCTTGAGTGTTACTGTTACACTATATTCTAGCATTTAACATTATTGCATGATTGCCACTTATAGTAAGTCGTATTTTAAATTCTCAATTTAAGGCTCAACCCTTAAAAAGCTGGGGTTGGTAATCTTCTTCAAAAATATTTTTGTTATATTTGTTGCAATTGTAATTAAATTCCAAAAGCAATCAATAAATCAAATTTTTTGACAAAAAAAAGAAAGAAGAAAATGTGGTGACTGGCAGTCGCAGGACTGCAATAAGGCAACCGGCCTCCCTACCTGCACGCACTCTGCCCATGTACTCATTGCACATCACTGGAGTCTTCTACATGATGCTAGCTTGACACCTGTGAGTACTCACAATAGCCATGTTCCTTGTTTAAGTTCATTATAATAATTTTGGGGGAGTGGCTTTGGAGGGAGGCCTGTCAGTGTTGTCAACTTGGTGACTTTCTCACTAGATTTAGCAAATTGTTGAATCTAGTGTACTCTTGCTGGTTTCTGAAGACTACCAACACTAGCTCCAATGATAAAGTTACTATTATTACTGGACTGGACCTAAAAATGCAGCCACCTGTTTGAGAAACTCGCTGGCAATGGAGCTGATGTCCGACCCGGCGTCAAGCCCAAACATTCTGCGTATGGGGTCTGGTGGTGGGGGTTGGGCCTCAGCGCTCCTCGAGCCCGACCCGGCGGTCTGGTGATGGGCTAGCATCTCAAACAGGACCGAGAGAGCTAGTGCAACAACACCCACGGCCCCATACCTCACCTACAGAATCAACACACACACATTTTGACATTATTAAAAACCTTTTAGACAATGTAACTGCAGAATTATTGATGATATACAAATGTGTTTAGGAGTGGAAATGCTTCTTTAATGAACTATATATATATATATATATATATATATATATATATATACACTACTTTATTACTTAAAGTCGTTTGTTGGGAAGAATCCTGATAATTGCAAATTTCCTCCACAGAATGAATCACATTGCCTGATTTTATGTTTCAGGAACACTCATCTCCAGATACCATAATGTTCCAGGTACGATTAAGCATAGTTGGATGCAAACCAAACGCAACTATGATCTGACCGTGGTGTTTCCTCCAAAGAGGGTGTGGAGGTCGCGGTTGAAGGCGAAGCTTTGCTGCTGGGTCATACGGCTCTGCAGGGCAGAGTACTGCTGCTCCAGAGCCCAGGAGGAGTTCAGGGACAGCAGAGAGGCCAGGGAGGCGTCCAGGGAGGCGTCAGGAACCAGGCCTGCATGGCTGGAGAGTTACGACATGCTGGGTTGGACTGATACGGTTGAATTTTCGGAACTTTTATTGTCTGTCAGCTGAGTTATACCTGCCCCATGCCTGGGGTTACAGTACGTCGGTATGTAACGGTTTCAATTGGTTTATACAAAGGACAAAAAGACATATTTAAAGTCACTACCAGAGATAGGTGTTCAGTTTTCTACCTATTTGCATACCTGGCGGTGTCGTACAGACAGTCTATGGTCTTTGGAGAGGTACTGCAGTTTATTCCCATCTCAGCGTCCACGGGGACTGTAAACGGCCGCACAGAAACTGGTGGTGAAAATGGTAAAAAAAACACAGCAGAGTTGCTGTCGCTGACCATTCAGAAGGAAATCAACTGGGTACAAAGTCTAGAAACACGCAGGGCGGATACACACACATACACACACACACACACAGCAAACAAACTGCTCAAATACAGAGATACCGATACAGTGCATGACACATCCCAGAATTTAGGAAATCTAATGACAATGGTCTGCGTTTAGATGATAAGAAACAGATTATATTTAGTCCATGGTTAGAAAAAATGTCCCCATAATGTCTAAATATATAAAAGGTTAGCTGGCTACGGGTAAACATAATGCAGGTATAAAGCAATAGGATTAGGACTTACCGCAATTTTCTTCTTGTTTCTGCTTTCACATCTTCCAAAAATGTGGTATTTGGCCATAACAGATCAAAGAGACTGGAGAATGTTAACACTTTGCTTTGAGCACAAGCCTTCACTTGAGAATAATAATTTGATATTTTGGTAAACATGAAATGTCTCTCGTTTATTTTGTACACTTAGCCTACACATATATTTGGTTTTCAAGGTTTTTGAAACAATACTTAAGAGATAACTCTCTTGATCCCAGGGGACACAAGCAAAACATTAAATATGGCAGATTTACAATTCATGTGAGCCACTTGAAAGAAAATGACTACAGATATTCTTTTTTAATTACAAGTTTTTTGTCATCAAGTGTGTACTTCAAATATATATACTTAGGTACGTACATACATACATTTTATAAAAGACCTGATCTCATGGCACAAAAGGCCCGGGTTACTAACACAATCAAATCAATTGTCCTTCAGCCCCGCGGCCGATCTGTCCAACAAACTTCAGGAAATCCATTCTGAGGTGTTTCCTGCTGACAGAAAACATAACCTCCTCCCCAGAGGTGATAACACCTTGAGTGTGAATCGAATAAAGGCATTTGTATCCGTATCTGGACACGTTAATGTTATATATATTACGTCTAAACACATCAGCCGGTATGAAACTACATGAATCAAAATGATTCTATTCTGTGTGTGTGTGTGTGTGTGTGTGTGTGTGTGTGTGTGTGTGTGTATGTGTGTGTGTGTGTGTGTGTGTGCGCGCGCGCACATCTGTGGATGTACAGCGTATTTGGGCCGGCTGCTGTCACCGCAATTTAACGTAAGCATACAATTTCTCCTTTATAAAATATATATTGTGGAAAGTGCCTCATTTGCTGTGAAACACACACTCTCTGAGTGAATTAGCCCTAATATACACATTAAGACAGAAGATTGTCAATGAGCAGTGACGTTTGCCCAGGTTTCTAGTGTTTCTAATCCGAGTGCCGATATTCTCATGCTGTATATACACTCAGGGAGTTACTTCTTGCTGTAATCAGTAATCAGTAATTTGTCCATTTTCAACAAGGGGAACGGACTCGAGTTTGATTCCTCCTCCCCCCCCCCCCCCCCAACAACTAGCGGCACCCCCATAAAATCTGTTCGCTACCTTAGCACCACGGACAACGCCACAGATCAATACAAGGTGGACAAACACAAAGTCTGTGCCGTACATCTACGGATCCTATAGAGTTTTAGATATATTTATTATATATACATTTTGAAAACAGTTGAGCCGAAACCGGCAACCGGACCGTTTTGGGCATTTTCAAATTTAGCTGAAGCTCACATAAGACTTGTCTGAGTTAGTGTTAGTTCAATGGACCGGGTCTACACGGATGCATAATGCCTTCAGGAAACAGCCACATGCTCAATGCTTTTATGAAGTTTGTAGTTTTTTGCTTATTTACTGTTAATATTGACACCTGCGCTCCAAACCTATCCTTTACGTTTCCAAGCTACTATACGTTTGGTTGACATTTTTGACGAACATAACATCAATACATCCTTGTCATGAATTTTTCCGATACATAATTGACAAACTTAAAAACACCATTTTTAATCTATACATACTCATTGTTTTCACTTTGCGTCTGTTTCTGTGCGTGCAGTATTGGCCCTTATAAAGTGGTCGTGGAGTGCCGCGTCGTGGTCGTGCGCAGGCTGTGGGACTGCGTGTCTGTGCGCACGAGGCTGCGCACGGCGTGTCGATACTTGGCGGACATCAGGTTGTACAGTAAAGGGTTGATGGCAGCACTGAGGAAGAAGAGGACGGAGGACACCAGGTTGAAATACTGAGACAGATAGTATAAAAAATACGCGTGCGTGTCGGGGTGTGTACCGTCGAAGCGTGTGTCATTGCGCACATCCTCTTCGTACAGGCCGGTGGGCGTCACGGTGTGTGTGCGCACGGCGGAAGGTGTGTGATCAGGCGTGTTATTTCGTGAGCGTACACGCATGAGTGTCCCGTTTTGCACGAGCGTGTGTACATGCGTACCGCTCGGCCTGTTGGCGTGTGTGTTGTTTGTGTCTCTCTTGTGTGCTAATCTACCCGGGTGTGCGTCTACATCAGTGTGTGTGTCGATTTTCGTCTTTGCGCAGACGTCGCAGAGTATTTCGTCTCGCTCTGCGTGAGCGTGTGCTGTCGTCTTTCTGATTTCGAGGTGCGTGTCCGAATCTGAGTGGCTAATGGGTTCAGCGTGTGCGTTGATATCTGTGTCTATGGCAACGTCAGCGAGGGTGTTGAGGTCAGCGTGCACGTCTGTGTCCGTGTGCCCTTCCTGTCCGTCAGAACCGGTGCCCATTGAAAGAGAGAAAATGGTGCGACCCACGTGGAAGGGCAGCCAGCACAGGACAAACGCCAAGACGATCACTCCTGGAGAAGGTGGCGACACAGAGGGGTAGGGTGGGGAGAAAAACACAGGGGGAGTACGTTAGAATCACTAATACCTGAAAGTGGCAAAATATTTCTCCAACACTAATAAAAACAGATACTACCGCGGTGTTTAAGTAGCCTCAATAGACTCAATATTGAATCTTTTAAGTCCTTTAAATTGATGTGCAATGTCCGGCATCGTAGTTTTTAGTAACTAGCTAGTATCAAACTAGTGATTAACTAAAGTGGACAATTAAAGCTTAAAACTAAAGAAATGTCTTAACTAGTAAAGACATAAGTAATGTCTAAACTGGTTGCTAGGAGACTTCTGTAGCATCATCCAGTCAAAAGCGATCAACTATTTAAACGGGAAGTCGCTGTAGCTTGAAGAGCTGCCGAACATAAGTTAATGTCACTTCAGCAGTTACATAACCGGTTTAGTGGATCAAATTATATCTTATATATATATATATATATATATATGCATCTGTTTATGAAAAAGTAGTATATTTTATTTAGTTTAGAATGATGGGAAATATCCAAATATGCCAACGAACTTTACGTATTTGGTAATTGTGTTTAATAGAGTGCTGCAGGGATGATGTCTTTTTGTAGGTCAACACAGAAGTCTGCATCGCACTGGTTCCCTCAACAACACGCCAATGGGATTTTTTCCATTGGATTTTGGATTGTTGCAGAAAATAAGATCTGCGGCAAACACATGTTTATGATACTTAAGATCTTTGTCCTGCAAGAAAATCTTCCCAAACGAACATCACATTTATGATTCTTGAGGTATAAATGGAATCGGCAGAAGTAAAAAGCTGGAGGATACAAACGAGGCTGTAATGGGGAATAGTTGACGTTGCTGCGTTGACGTTAAATGTCCCCAACAACCTCTGTCATCTTATTTAACCACTCGTTAGCTACAGCCTTTTTTAAAGACGCTTAAAAGGCTTTAAAATTCACGAGTGGGTCATTTACTGACGTATTCTATGTCGTAGAACAAAATGTGAAATCTCTTAAGCTTGTGTTGAACCCAGACCTTATTTCAGGCATCAAACCAAAACCCATTCTAAAAACCCATTGACTTAGAGACGAGGAAACCGGAAGTGCAAAATGCTAACTCATGTCCTTGTTTTAGGACTCATTCCTGCAGCAATCTATTGGCATCAAATCTTGAATTAAATACTCCCAGTTCGTATTAAACAAAAAGTGTCAGGCCAGATCAATATTCCACATTACCGGTTCCACTCTACAGTTTAAACGGTTCATGTATTAGCAGGCTAACTTTAGCTTGATTGAAATTTGTAGTTGTCAAGAAGCACAGACTTTTAGCCACTTGTTGCACTTGTTTAAGACATAATGTATTCAACCTCTTCCCGTTCTCCTACATCTAGCCATTGCCAGCTTATCCGCTCCTGTCCAACAGATGGCGACAATGTGACTAAACGTAGGCTAAATTGTAGGCTGTTACCACTTTTATATTCACAGTTTTGTTTGACAGCCATTTTACATTTTTGAAAAATGGAATTTCAGCATTTATGTTGAATTTCATTGTTAAATAAAGGATCCTTCTGCTTGGCGACATTAGCGACAGATTAAGTAGCTAAACTGAGATGTTTGCTTTTCTGACTAAGTTGTTGTGAATAGTCCTCTAGTTGGAGTCAAAGCTGAACAAAAATTATTAATAAAAATAGAATTTTGAAACAATTATCTTCGCAAGCGACGATTTTGGAAATATGGCTTGAAATCATTATTGAAATACTTGTTTAATTTTACTTGAAAATGATTTGTTTATGTACAAACAGGTTTATTATACAAACACTAGTCTTGCTTGATAATAATTTGATGCAAAAAGTTGCAATACTTTTTAAAAAAGATCAAGTCGGATATTTTAAACATGTCAAGCTTGACAACGTTGCTAGCAGGGTGTCAATGCTTGTGGCCCCACCGAGGTTAAATCACCACCTGCTACTGTTTGTCACTTTCTGTTCCGTGTGAATAATCAATAAACAACTAGTCTCTATGTGAACGCTTGTTCAATCAAAAGAAGCGCCTGAGGGTGTGTGTGTGTTAGTGACCGTGTGTTTCTCACCCAGCATTTTGATAGTGTGCCGGTGACTCTGGTCTCTGCGTCTGCTTTGTGGACGGAGACACAGCGTCCGTCCGATCAGGCTGTAGACCAGTCCCAGGATGCAGAGGGGCACCAGGAAGTACAAGTTGGAGAGAACCACCATGGCCGACAGCAGGCCAGATGTGACTGCGAAGTGCGTGCAGCGGCACTCTCTATTGTCAATTTCGCCACCCCCGTCAACGCCTTCTTCCCGTCCTCCTCCCTCATCCTCTTTCATCTTATTTTGCCGCTCTTCCTCAACTTCCATCTCTCCTTCTTCTTCACCTCCTCCCTCATCTGCTTGATTTTCAATTTCTCTTTTTCCTCCATCCCCTTGATTCCTCTCGCCTCTTTCTTCTATTCCCGCTTTTCTCTCCCCTTTCTCTCCAAACCATTTTGACTCCCCGACTCTTTCACCCCATCCCATTTTATGTTTTTCTCCCCACTCCTTTTCCTCTAATCCTCCTTTGTCTCCACTTCCTCTTTGCCCTCCACCTATCATAAACCCTTCCTGTTCTCCTTCCTTGCTCGTCCACCCTCCATCCTCCCTCAATACACCGAACCCGAGCTCCTCTCCCCCGACATCCTCCACTCCAACCATGACCAACACCGGTGCCGCGCTGACGGCCGCGCCCAGCCAGAGGCAACCGATGAGAGCCCGTGTTCTGCGACGTGTCAGCAGGGTCTTGGCCGTGAACGGCCAGCAGACCGCCAGGTACCTCTCCAGGGAGAGGAAGGTGATGTGGAGGATGGTGCAGAAGGTGCAGCACTCTGAGAGGAACATTGTCAGCTTGCAGGCAAGGTCTCCCAAAGGCCAGGGTCTGGGCTTCCAGAGCTGGAAGAGACACAGCAATCATTTTACCCTGACGCCATTTTTCGTTTTCACCTTTATTCCACTTCATGACGCAGCAGTCACACTCAGGTGTGCACCGACCTTTTACTAAATATTCTCAAGTTCACAAGCCAATTTATTGACAGCTTCATTTGGAGTTAGAACATGTTTTAGACGAGAATAGTGATGTTTTACAACAAGATGTGCGTCAACCAAAGAAAAAGAATGATGAGACAATTTCCACAAAGGTGAGAATGACAGTGAACAAATGGTCAATCCAGAACGGGCAGGGCCAAACAATCGGACTAGATTTTAGCAGAGGAAGCATTCCGGTTTCCGTAGGTAAACACTGTTAGCTCTGACAACACTGTTAACGTTTTTTTTAACTGTTTGTGGAGTTCACACCGTTTGCAGCTAGCTGCCGGCTCTGCTAGCCATGCGCCACGTAAGCCATGTAAGCTCAGTGCAGAGCGACGGCCATGAACTAGCCATTGGGGTGCGCTCACATGCCTGAACATGCTCTAAAAGGCATTCGTGGCCCACTGAGCTTCATGCGTCACTGAGCAAGGGTCATATGAACGGGACCCCGCCTCCAACTCCAGTTGTCTTTATACATCCAGAGTGGCCCCCAGAGGCTAAATTGTTGTCAGACTGATAGCCGTTGAGTTCCAACATTGAGGAAATGGCAACAAGTGCTTGTTTAAATCATTATTGGTACACAATTCTCAAAAGGAACAAAACGCATCATCCCCCTTTCTTCATTCACATCAATGGTCTGCAATTTTTGCTGTGACTGCACCTTGAGCAAAACATCTGGTCAGACCATATCACAACATCCATGAAAAAAGGGTACAAACAAACAGGGTACACCCTGTGTGTGTGTGTGTGTGTGTGTGTGTGTGTATGTGTACCTTATACACATCCAGAGGCAGCAGCAGGAGTATCAACAGATCACTGACAGCCATGCTGCTCAGGTAGAGGTAGGTGGAGCTTCTCATGTGAGGGCGGAGCCAAACCACCAGAATTGTCAGTGTGTTTCCCAGAAGGCCGAAGAGCATCAGTGGAATGTAAATGACAGTCACACACACTAGAATATGAAATATTGATATGTTTAATCAGAATCACTTTTATATTTATTCCACACATTGTCAGAATGGAAAATGAAATGAAATTTTTTTTGAATTCTACTGCACCATGCACTTATAATCACTAGAACAGCTAGCCCGTGGAAATTTAAGGGAATAATTTGACATTATGGGAAAGCTCTGTCAAAAGGTAAAACATGTATAGCAGCTGTTATCCAACAGACCCCCGCTCACTTCAGACCAGTAACAAAACCACTGGAAATTTGTGAAGCTTTTCAAACTTTGGCATAATTTTGTGCAGGAAAGAAATAGGTTTTTAGGGCCTTTCATGTTAAGCTAAGCAAACCGGCTTCTGGTGTTGACCTATTCCTTGAATATCAAAGGAAAGATGCAACAACATTTAATGGCGGCTTTTTAATTGGACTGACACCACAATATCCTTCAATCAAATAAGATGAAAGTCAAAGGGGATAACTATATTAGTTGCATCCCCACTTTGTAATCTAATTTCTCTTTTTTAAATCTCCTTTAGGAGGATTATGGGATCGCGACTGAGTGTGCGTCTCTGTGTCTGTCCACGGCTAATCTCGCATTCCAGCTAATCTCGCACCCTTTTGTTTTTTGGATGGTGTGTTTGGCAAACAGCTGACGGAATTAACAGTACACACACTGTTAAGTACATCGCAGCCGCGGCTAAACGGGCAGACATATTGCTGAGTTTAATTTAGTCTTTGGCAAGATTGTATTAAGCGTTTTATTGCCTGCATACATCGACACATATTTTTTACCCACCTAACTCAATCAATCCGAACACAGGTTCCTCCGAGTGGCACTCTTGGTCCAAGCAGTCCTCAGGGAAGCCAGATGCGTGGCCACAGTTTTCATCTTCGCAGCCACTGCCCATGTTGCCCCACTCCATGAGATCCATGATGACACAGGGTGGGGTCGGACAGAAGAAGTGAGAGTGGAGAAAACAGCGGGGGAGAGGTGTGTGTCCCCCAGGTTACAGGGCGCAGAGGTGACGCACACCGATGGATTTCCTATGTCGCTCAATCACAGCTAACACTGAAGAGGAGTGTGAACAAAAAGAACATATGAGCGCATACAAAAGGTGACACATAAAAGTGCGTGTCATACTGTATACTTTACATACATGAGTACTCTGGAACAGTTAAATCAACACTAAATGCCACTGTTTATGTATTGTTTATGTTCCTTATTAGTTCCAAATCCATAAAAAACAAAAAAAAACTGCTGTACACATATGAGGGAACACATCTTTAATATCAACACAGTTAAGGTCCAATTATCAGAGATTTAATTGAAATTCAATTCCTTCTTTAGTTGTTATTCTTTTATCACTGAAACCCATCAATATCCATGAGAATGAACCAATTAAAAGAACATTTTTTTGCAACCACCTTCAAAACAATCCCGACCCAAAACTGTACGTTAGCTATAAAAAAAAGAACACACACAAAACACTTGGAACTTTCACGTAATGTAAAATAACATATAGGTATAAATAAATAACATACTCAGTGATTGAGAGGAGCTTCGTTGCGTAGTGTCTCTCTTCCGCGATCACACACACCTGTGCTTTGCCGTGACTTACACACACACACACACACACACACACACACACATCTACCTCTCCCCTCACTCACTCCTTTCTTATCTCTCTCTCTCTCTCTTCCTCCTCTCCGTCTCATCTGTTACCGCCTGCTCTATCCTGTGGACTTAAGCCGTTTCACGTTATACCACTTTATAGGAAGAATTGTTCACCAACAGGCATATTTATCACAAGTGCTTGTAAAATTACGTTTTCATTGCGTTATCACCTTGCTAGCTAATTTCCATGCCATAGACACTCTTCTGTTTCATTAGTTATTTAATATACAGTGTAACAATAGGGACTGGTGGGTTAAGTCTTCAGACCCTTTAATTGTGTAAAAGTAACAAAGCGGCAATATAAAAATACTCCATTGCAAATATAAGTCCTGCATTTCTATTCCTATGGTACCATCACTTCGCACTTAAAGGAGACATGTCCCGCTCATGTCAAGGTTCATGCTTGTATTTTGGGTGTCTACTAGAACATGTTAACGTGCTTTATTGTTCAAAACACTCTCTGTCTGAAACGTTACGTTTTAGCACGTTTCGATGGATTTGCAAAGCTCGGGTCAATAAGGATTGTCACTGTCTATTCATATTCATCAACTTGAATCCCATTACTTTATGAACTGTATGAGTATAATTGTTAAACCTGTGTGAGATAAACCTATTGTTTGTTTTCATGGACGGCCAAATGGTGCGTCAACTTAAATGTTGCCACCGCAAGGAATTGTGGGGCGGAATTATCTACTTTCCTTTGGTCAAGGAAGGTCCAGTGTTTCATATGCTAAAGGAGCCAATAAAGGAAGCATTGAAGCACCTTTCCTTAGCATTTAGAGAATTCGAACAGCTCTTATCATGGCGGCCTCTTAGATAATTCCGGGTCATTTCACTCAAAAAGGACGATTGGACCACAGCCCTTATATAGTTGTGACATCACAACAACACGGAAATCCTGACGGCTCGTTTAAAGGCACAGTGTCTGTGTCGCCTCGGATAGCTATGACGTCTTATTCCTTTGCACTCTTACTATCACTCTTCATCTGAGAAATACAAATTAAATGGCAACAAACAATAAATGGCAACATACAAATAATGTAAATAAAGAGCCAAATAATTAATTAATTAATTTTTCATAAACTTTAGCCTATGATGAAAAACGCAATATGCTAGCTGCTACTGCTACTGCAGGCTACGTTCCATAGCAACTGCCTCCGTACGTGCAGGCAGCCAGGAGGCCTTATTTTATTGTGAATTTTATTATTTATTAATAAAATAAAAATATATAAATTTGAATGTGCCTATACCTTTCATACTGCTGTACTTGAAGACTGTTTGAAAAAAGCAATATCTCAAATCAGTCCGTGATGTGTTGTTCGGCCTCATGCGACCACACGGGATTGAATAAAATGTTTCTTCTGGGGAAAAGTATATTAGCTGAAAGCTCTGAATGTAAAGTAACAGAAAATGTGGCACATTGTGCTCATTGCAATGCTGGAAATATAGAGAAGAAAGGTTAAGACTAACTCAAAATACTGGTAAGGTGAGATGGGAAGCAGATCTTGAGGGTATTCTTGTAACAACAGCAGACGAGGAGCAGCACACACAGAGAGTAGCTGTTGAATATGAGAAGGAGATGGGAATACATCCAACAATATAGTGTTTATTTTTCTTTCATTATTAGTACTGTCATTTATTCATTACTTTATTTACCTTATAGTGATACAAAGTCATCCAGGGACCAATATATCATACTACGTACTCCGGTACAGTAGGTGGCGAGTATGCACCGTTTAAGTGACATTTGCAACCTACCATAAAAGAAGAAGAAGAAGAAGAAGAAGAAGAAGAAGAAGAAGACGGAAGTTGTTTCCTGCTGTCTCTAATCCGGAGTTGAACCTGAGTCCGAGGACGAAATGGCCTTGAGAGCTGCATTGAGGAACAAATGCGTGTTGTCAGGTATGTCTGAATGTGTATGCACCTATCTAACTAGCTGTGTTGGGTGTGTTAGCAGCCGTGTTAGCTTCGTTAGCTTCGTAAACTGTGCTTTACAGAAACTGGAACAAAGGTCACGGGACACTGCATTCTGTAACCCCCTTTGGGTCCCCCCCCCCCCCCCCCCCGGTCATAATGAGCACCTATTTAACAATAAATGCACACAAAATAAATTGTATTTTGTATTATGCACGCAAACTTAACTCCATTGTTTGATTAACTAATGACAAGATAAGTGTGTATTGGTATTAGTTTGCTATCACTTTTCATACGTCTTGCACGTCAATTTGCAACTAAATACGCTTCATTATCAGTTTTCTCCATTTTAGTTGTATTTGTTTCCACCCAACCGCTTATCTATTTGTGCATCTATATGATAGAAATCTATTAGATTGTTGTTAGTTTAAACTTGTGAATTGCTACCGGAGACATGGAAGATTTCACTCAAATACAATGTGTGTGTGTGTGTGTGTGTGTGTGTGTGTGTGTGTGTGTGTGTGTGTGTGTGTGTGCGTGTGTGTGCGTGCGTGCGTGTAGGTCTTCTTTCCCAGCGATCCTCCTGCAGCAGTCATGGCAGAGTATGTGCGTCTCCTGTCCTCGCTGCTCAGCGGAGGAACAACTCCACCTCGCCTAAAATAGACGTGGAGTTTGACCAAAGCACGGGTAAACATTTTGCCAACAGATCAGTACATCTTCTGCACGATTCGAAGAGTCGGAGCCGTTAATGTCTGCTGCCCACCTCCCTACTTGAGTTTAAATGAGACAGGGAAATGTAAATTAGATTGTGCTGACTATAAAGACTTGAAGTTCCATGTCCTCATTTCTTTTCCTTTTGACATGAATTTGCAGATAATTTATGTAAAAGTATCGAGGTAAAAGACCAGCATCTCTGTCTCTCTCTCTCTCTGTAGGTGTGGCTGTGATGCACCTGCAGAGTCCGCCAGTCAACAGCCTCAGTTTAGAGTTCCTCACAGAGCTTTCCATCGGTGTGGAGAAGCTGGAGATGGATAAGAGCTGCCGAGGCCTCATCATCACCTCGGTACAGTCTAACTTCATTGTTTAAAACCACAGCGGAGCCTTTGTGCTCTGTATTTGTATTACAAGGTAATTAATAACAGATAAGCAATATAATAATGCTTTGTAGTTGCATTATAGTAAATACTCCTTAATGTTTTAGAATGTTATTTAATCCGTGGGGCTAACATTTTCAGTGCTGGAGTGTGACGATTGTGAAATGTTGCGCTAACATTGGACCGTTAACCCCCGAGTGTGTATGCGTGTGTTGTTTGAATACAGAGCCAGCCCAAGGTGTTCTCAGCCGGGCTGGACATCACGGAGATGTACGGGAAGAGTCCAGAGCACTGTGGAGAGTTCTGGAGAGCCGTTCAGGAGATGTGGCTGAACCTCTACGGCTCCAACATGATCACTATAGCTGCAATCAATGTACGCAAACATCATCAGCAGAATATTGACGAATCAAACGTCTCGCCGATTTTCCTGGTAGCCAAACTTGTCACTCCCTCCGCAGGGTTCCAGTCCTGCAGGCGGCTGTCTCATGTCTCTGACGTGTGACTACAGGATTATGGCGGACAACCCGCGTTACAGCATCGGCCTAAATGAGACGCAGCTGGGCATCGTGGCACCTTTCTGGTAAGGAATTATAGGACAATACAAAAACAGTAACTTCACTGCATCGTACAACACACTTCATTCAAACTCCCACCTTGGTTCATTTTTCCACTTTTTCAACAATCGCCAAAACTGGTTTTGACGAAAAATACCCTAAATTCTCCGCCTTTGGTGTGAAACTATTGGGAGAGGAGTGAGAGGGAAGTAGCGGGGGACGGGTGTAGAGACAGAATATTTTGACATCTAACACGGGGAATAAAGGGTTTATTCTCACCAGACCAGTGTTGCCGATTGTTGGAACAGGTTTGGTGCGTTTTACTTTTCTACCGTTGTCTTTGAATGAAGAGTGTTTCACGACACGGTGAAATTATTAACTGGTGTATTTAGTATTTAGCTGCTGTTTCTAAGTAAAGTAAAAGGTTTGTACTCTTCAACAAAAGGCCAAGTCAGCGGCAAGAACACGTATATTGTAGACCCTTCTGTCTGCTTCTCTCTGAAACCACGTTTTCCCCCCAAAATCAGATATTTCTTCAGGGAGTGCAGTTAGTGACAGTGTGGGCTCCGTGCTAGCTCTGACAGCTCGACTGAGCAGCTAACAACAAAGGGGCGCCGCTGAGCAAAAACTGAATTGCTGGTGCTGTCTGCAGGTTTATGGACACCATGAAGAACACATTGGGCCACAGAACCACAGAGGTGGCTCTTCAGTTGGGGCTGCTCTACAACCCGTCAGAGGCCCTGAAGATAGGACTGGTGGACCAGCTGGTACCTGAAGACCAGATCCTCACCACAGCCAAGCAGACCATGACCAAGTGGTTGGCTATTCCAGGTATATTGGCACCTTTCATGCATGACCAGTGAACTTGCCAGTCTACTCTTCCACTTGTGGTACTTTAGCTTCAGTGTGCATAGTCACATGTAAGACTATAAGTTGTTACTATGATGCTACTTATAAAAGTACCAGCGCCAGCATTAATGTAGGGGTAAAAAAAACAACTGAGACTTCACTTCACCTTTGGAATCGGTGAGCTAATTGTTCATCTGTGCACAGACCACGCCAGAGCGATCACCAAGTCCATGATGAGGAAGCCAACCATCGACAAGCTGACGTCCAACAGAGACGCCGACATCAAACACTTTGTCAACTTCATCACCAAAGACTCCATTCAGAAGTCGCTGGGCATGTATATGGAGATGCTTAAAAAGAGAAGGGGCTAGAGGAGAGAGGGGAAACTAATAGAATGATGCACTCAGTTGAAAAACGCATTCAGTGTCACATGTTCATTTGTGTCAATTGTGCTAAGATGATTGAGTACAGTTCCCTGCAGCAGCTCACCTTCACTGTTCAACCAGCAAGCTGGTGGAACACTCACCATAATAAGTCGTTTGTTTCACTCATGTAGCAGAAAGGAACAACTGCATTCTGTTGCTAACCCTGTGTTGGACAATGACAATAACTTAACCTTGAACCTTGACAGACACCAGTGATTCAGTGACATAAATGTTTTCTTCACATTTCTTTAAAGTAACATAACATTTCAATTTACTGTCAAACCCTCTGTTTGTTTTGAGATACATTCAGTAAGCTAGTTAGCCGGACATGCTAACATTTGAAGACACTTGTAGCCATTATTATTATTTTTTAAGCTAAAGAAATTCACTGCTCTGGTTTGTAGAGAAATCCAAAACTTCAAAACCTACCACGCTGGGTTACGGTTGCTAAGCTGTGATTGGAGATTTGCTTTTTCGGGGGAGGGCTTTAGCGAACAGTCAGTTATTGCCACGAACCGGTCTCCACTGAGTCCCGAGCATTACTGTAACTTCAAGAACCATAACTAACGAAAGTAACCCTGGGTGCATTTGAACAGCCCACAGTGGGCGATGCCTTTGTGACAGATTTATCTACATAACGTGACTTTACTGCTTTTTAGCCTGAACATTCTTAAGCAATGGGAGTTTTTATGTGGTCAGAGAATTGATTTGTGTGATTTAAAGAATAAAAAGACTGACTTTCAGTTCTGGCAGTTTACTTCATCTTAAAAAATGATCCCCATGGCCGCATTGAGAAGTAAAGTATCTTTCGATTTGTCTTTGAGACAGTTGTACAACTATTATTATTACTACCACTACTACTGTTGTCATGATACGCTGATAGCTTCAGTTTTTTGTGCAACGTTTTTCGATATCTGCTACTACAGATGCTGCCACTTGATACAATAAAGGTGCGTGGACTTCTGTTTGTGCTGCTTCAAACATTTAAAAAAAAATGTCAACAATAGAATAGCAGAAATTATTTGTTTATTTTGGTCTCATAAATGTAATGCTGTGTGATTGCAAAGAGTTCCCACACTGATCCCTCATGACTCCATTCAGCCTGGAGGTTTCTGCAACACTTGTGGGAGTCGAGGTTCAGGCAGCAGCAGCAGCAGCAGCAGCCTGGCCAATCAGCTCCACCTCCACAGGGAAATGGTCGCTGACAGCCAATGCCTGATGGAGATGGAGAGAAAATGTAGGTTTCTCCTGTAGCACAGTTTCTTGTTAGTCCAGCCTAAGCATACAGAAGATTGCCTCGGTTAAACAGAAAACAGGCTTTTCCATGTAAAACATGGTTTAGTCTGTTCTGTAATACTCATGTTTACAATGTTTACTGAGGGAATAAATCAAGTGAGAAGTAGTCATTTTCTCATAGACTTACAATCAGACTTCTTTTTTACAACCAGATGGAGTTTAGAGAGAATGTAATTTTAAGGCACTTTCGCATTGGCTTCACTTTTCAGAACCGCAGCCAAATCCTAGCGCATGAATGCAGCTTCCTCAGCATTCTAGAACAAGTAGGTTGCTTTAAAGTGCACTGGGAGCATCTTGTCTCACTCAAGGACGCTTTGACTTGTGGATAGAAGGAGTCAGCGATCATATAGCCAACATACTGGAAGACGACACGCTCTACCCACTGAATAGGGTTGAGCAAAAACACGATCCCCAGCCGGTGTTAAGCAACTCCTAACAGACCCAGCCTTTTTACTCCATTGCAACTAACAGGGATTCTATCATAGAGGAGATTTAAAGCTAAAGTTGTCTTTACCAGACTGTGGCTGAGTTTCAAGTCCACCATGTAGTTGTAGACCTCAGTGCTGCCGGGCACCACTCCCTTCATCATGTCATCAGTGACCACAATCCTGCAGATACAGGAAGAGGGTTGGAATTAAGAGTCTGTGCGTATGTCTGTGTGTGTGCATACAAGTGTCTATGCATGTGTGTCCACCTGTCGTAAGGGCAGTTAGTGTGTGACACAGTCGTGTCGGCCTCGTCGGTGATCAGCCAGTGGAAACTCTTGTCCGTGAAGAGGCGGATCTGCTGCCAGTCGGAGCCTGATACGTAACTGCAGCCTGTGTTGAAGTCGCCCAGCAGCACGATGTCCTGCAGGGACAGCAGAAATAGTTTCATCCAGCCACCATCTCATATTTTTAACAAATTAATCATCATTTGCACTCTTTTTTGTGTGTATTTTCTGGAGGAGAGCATTCACATTGGTGTTCCAGCGGACGCGGACATCAGCCGCCACGTCATAGAGGGCGTCGGCTTCCTTCACAGCGGAGTCTGGAGAGGTGTGCTGGGGGATCAGAACAAAGTTCCTCACAGCTGTGAAAAAGGAGGAAGGAGTGAATGAAGGGGGAGATGCGTGAAGGAGAAAGTTAAGATTTTTTAAATATATAGCAGAAAAGAGATGCCAACACTATTTGGCTGACATAAATACTGTATGGCAGTAAGAATTCACAAGTTTTAGAGTTTTTCTTTAAGGGCCATTGGTGACCAATAGACCTGTGACCTCAGAATCTCACACAAGTTCTCAGTTGATTGCCTAATAAATGAGGCAATCGACATCACTGGTGTCTGACAGAGAAAAATTGGACTTCCCACACTCCCCCGGGGCCTACCGGTTTGTTTGGAGGTGAACATGACGACGAAGGGCTCTCGGCTGAAGGTGTCCGTCCCGCATGGCTCGCAGCCGTCGTCGTAGGTGTAGTTTGTAGCCACGGACACCGTCTGCTCCCTGCAGAGGAAAGATGCTACTTGACCACGTCTATTGCTGCCTGTAAAAACCTTTACTTTTGAAACAAGTAAGTCCTGTGCCTTCTGGGGCCGACCACTAGGGGGCAGCTTAATCCTGAAAGGGTGAATGTGGTGTGCAGATGTGTCATGCCTTTTTCTTTTTTGCCAAAGAATATAATTTAGGTATAACTGCCATAGGATTATTCTTAATTAATTAAATTAATTTTCATTTCCCAACATTCTTGCGAGTAATTTGCATTCAAAAACACACTTTGGTGATTCTTTAAAGGGCCAGTGTGTAGGATTTCGCAGATCTTTTGGCAGAAATGGAATATATAATATTCACAACTATGTTTCCGTAAACTAAGAATCGTGTTTGCGTTAGCTTAGAAAGAGCCCTTCATATCTACATATTGAGATGCTCCTCTTCACGGAGTCCGCCATGTTGCACCTCCATGTTCATACAGAAGCCCAGAAGGGACAAACCAAATAGTGGCTCTAGAGAGAGCCTTCTCTCTAGAGCCACTATTACCTGAAGGCCATCGTGTAGTTCTCCGACACGCTTGTGAAGGTAGAGGTATTCAGTTGCTTTAAATCCGCAACCTCACCACTAGATGGCACTAAATCCTGCACACTGGCCCTTTAAATGAATTCGTTGAGAAATTGTATTTAATGGCACGAAAAGCGGTCAAAGGTGTGGTGTTTTCTGACACAGTGACACATGATCAACTTCAATCTGCTAATATGTGTATTGAACCGGCTGTATTTAAACCAGTGGTGGAAAGTAACTAAGTACATGTACTCAAGTACTGCGCCTCAGTATAATTTTGAGGTTTTTTTGAGGTACTTGAGTGTTTCCATTTGCTGTTACTAAATACCTCTCTCCTCCACTACATCTCAGAGGCAAATGTTTACAATTAGTTTACTTACTTTACTCACTGTTACTTTTCAGATTGAGCTTTCACATACAAAACATATGACATACATTGTAATATATGACGAATTGTTACAGATTAAACTGCCCCAGAGCATATCAAGACATTAAGTTGAGCTCCACTAAGACCAGCTACAAGGTTAAAATCAGCAGTAATAATCCAACAATGTAAATTTGGTTTCTGTTCACTGTCTCAACGGAGGATTTGCTACAACAGATCGGTTGTTTTTGCCTCTCTCTGTTTACCTGTAGAGGAAGAGATATCTCTCCTTGTAGGAGCTGCGACCCAGAGGCTCGCTGACGATGTGGCTGTACCTGAACTGAGGAGAACCTCTGCGAAGACAGATTAAACATAATTTTGTTTATTTTACATCATAATAAATATAATCATCAAAGTAACATGTGCGCTTTGTAAGGTGCAGTCCAACTTGTTGACGTGCTCCATGAGTTTTCTGGTCGCTGACAGATCGCTGTCTCTGACCTCCTGGATCAGAATGATGTCATAGCGATGGACAATCTGAGAAACACAAAACACGTATATCCTAATCATATGACTAGATTTCTCATAGTAGCGGTGTCTTATTATATGAGTTGATTCAAGTATGGTTCTCCATAAAACACACAGAAAACAGAACTTAAAGAAGGGAACCAACAACTCTTTCCCGTAATGATTGTCGGTAGTAAAGGAGCACTTCACTAATTCCACTAGTTCAACTCAAATTTTTTTTTCACTCGCCCCAATACAAATTGTTTTATTGATTAGCTGTTATCAAATAACAACGAAGACCAAAGTTAATTGACATGTTCATTCTTTATTTAACGCTTTCTTCTTGTTTTGTTTTTGGCGACCCCTGTGGAAGAAAGTGGTATTGTTTCCAAGCACCAGAGTCCCTTTAAAGAATCCTTATAGTAGAGCCCTGCATGGGAAGTACCACTTTAAATACCTCTTGTAATGGCAAAATATATTGAACTCTGTGTGTCCGTGTTGTGAACCCGAAACTTACGTGTGGTTAAAACTATGCAGTAATGAGGAACTTGCAGGCGAAAGTCTCATCTTACCTTGATAACCGTAACTGGTTCCCAGTTGAACGCATCTAGCAGAAAGTAGATAATGAGCCGATCAACACGGCCTGTGTCAAAAGACCTCTCCTCCCCTGTGTGTGATTTATCTGAAGAGGACATCTCCATGTATAAAACGATGATGAATCCTGTAGTTAGTCGAAGCTTTTACAACATGCTGCTGAATACGTATTGTGTTGTGCACTCTTCCCTTGCAAGCAAATAAACGGAGAAAAAGACAACTTTGAATCTTTTGAAGACTTTGTTATTGATTTGTGAACAGAACTCTCTTCTCCCGATTAACTTAGAAATATTCCACAACACTCTCAAAACAGCTGTATGATGTCTTCAGTGCCACTGGAGGAGAACATGACCCCCATGATGTCATAGTGATGTTATTAGGATCATGTGAGCTCGGGCTTGGACAGTATAAACTGAAAACATGTTACAAACTGGGAAAGTAGAATTTGAAAGCCATGAATATTTACCAGGCAAGGAGGGTCTGGAGGAATTATAAAATGATAATGGTTGCATTGTGG